GTTCAGTAAGTATATTTAATTTATTCTATTTTAACATGTATTAAAAATATATTTATAAATTAATATCTCTATACTAAATTTTTAGGATCTAGGAAGTACTCCTGTAAACTCTACAACTTCAAAACTTAATAGTATGGTTTAAATTTAAATAATTCGGATTTATTTTTAAGAACCACAAATTTAATTATTCATATTTTTGTTAGAAGGATCGACTGCCTATAGCAAACATCTTAGACCACCATCAGACTATGCAGGAAGATTGAATAAACTAAGAAAAATAAAAGGAATATCTGACAATTTTGCATCAAATACAAACAATCTAGTTGGAATGTATTCTCAACCAATTGAAAATTATTTTAATGAGAGTTCAACACAAGTATCATTGGAGCCATTGCAAAAACAGATGAAGGATGTTGACAGTTGTTTAAAGTACCTTCAATTATGGGATCAACACTGAAAATTGTCAAAAAGAGATCATCGATCAACAGTATAAAATGCTAAAACTAATATATTCATTGTCTGATTTTTTTTTATATTGCTGATACTTTGCCAACAAGAACAACAAGAAGAAATGAGCCCAATTGCATTGGAGAAGATTACAGATAATTGGAAGGGTAATGATTTAAAGGCTCGGATTAACAAAAAATTTGGCAATAATAATTCACGTTTTATTTTGAGAAAGTGGACAGCATGTTGAAAACTGCATCATTTCTTATAGGTGACAAATGTTATGCCAAATGAGATGATCGAAGTCAAGCTAAATGCAAATTATTTTCTCAATGCAAGTGAAATCAAATATAATTTCCTAATTAAGGAATTATTGAGAAATCCTGAATTCCCAGAATTTCATAACATTAAAGGGAAAATATATTAGAATTAGTAAATATTGCAAAGAGTGCTTACAATTTCAATTTTAATGATAATTGTTTGTAACAATTACTTAATTTTTATTTTTTTTTATTTTTTGCTTTCTGTTCCTTTTTTTATCATAAAAAATAATGATGACAGAATTCCTTGTATCGATTTTTATCATAAACAAATGCATAAATTATGTTATCACATGAATGAAAAATTAAATACCTTAATAAAATTTGCACGGTTCATATTTTTTTTTCACACAATACAATTTGCCCTTTTAACTGCCAACTTAAATGCTACTCGCACATGAATAACCATCTCAAAGAAGGAATCACGCATCGAAAATTCTAAAAATATAATTTTTCTAATTTGAACTCAATTTATTCTCCTACAGTATCATGATACCATCGGAGAATGAACGGACAAATTTTGTCGCTAAAATGAGATTTTACTTGAACATTCTCATTCTAATTAGACAAAATTATTCAATTGTAATTAATTTTTTGTCAAACTTTTAATGAAGACCAGAATAAAAAAATTTAGATGGTGTCTTCATTAAAATTTTGAACAAAAATAATTACAATTGAACAATTAGAATGAGACTGTTCAAGTAGAATCTCATTTTAGTAACAAAATTTGCAGATAGTTGATTAACATCACGACACTGACCAATTATTTTTTTTGTATTTTTTTATGAAAATGGATAAATTGCGATATATTTTTTGTATTTTTACAAAAATAGATAATGATAATTGGTGAACATCGCGTAATTAACTAATCATATTTTTCGCGGATACAGATAATAAGACCAATCATATTTTTCACAGATACAGATAATAAGAATATTTTTTGTGATGTAAAATAAATGGGTTAAGATCAATTTTGTGTTAAGTTAATTGTAATACGTATGTCAATATGAATTAATACTGAAGAACAATTATAAAAGACACAATTAGAAACCTAACATAAACTTATTTTGTTTTTTGAAGCATTTAAAAGTATAACTGAAATAAAACCTGAAGAACAATTATAAAAGAAACTTATTTGTTTTTTGAAGCATTTATAAGTATAACTGAAATGAAACTAATTGCTACTATTGCTATATAATAAAATTTATTTTTTAGTTTAAGCTTTCTATGTAATAATTAAAAACTTTTAATTAATTAAAATTTTAAAACTGTAGCTTTTTTTACAAATAATCATGGTTTGCATAAAAAATTTTGTGGCAATAACCTCTGTCATTTATATATGTATCTTGTTTTAATTGTAGAGATATCATAAATAAATGTAACTATATTATTAAGATTTTTTTAAAAAAAATTATTTGCATAAAGAAAAAAATTACTCGTATAGCACTACTAAATCTTCATAGTAATATATAATAATAAATAATTTCAAAATATCAGGATATATATATAAACTTTTAAATTTAATAAATATTTTGTCATCTTTAAAAACTTCTTCTCATATTTATGTATACAACATTCTCCTTAAATTTCAATGAGGATTGAAAAATGTTAGATTCGATGGAAAATTTATTTTCATATGCGTCTCTGAATTCCACGCCGAAATTAGGTGCTATGTTGCCATTAATCATGTATTCTAATTCAAGATCACTCCCAAGATTAATATCAGATGAGAAATCATACACGTAATTATGCCTATTAAAGCCAGTCTCGTAATCTAAAAACTGCATATAAAATTATAACCACCAGCAGTAGGGTAGCTTTTAAAAATAAACACAAAAAACTGGAGGTCATTATGTATATCAGTATTTAAGTGGGAAATTTTTGTTAAAAACTTTTTGAAAGAGTTCTTTTTGAAAAATTGGCAAATTAGACATTTTGACATAACTCATAATTAAATTTTGAATGGTAATTTATATAATTTTATCGCATATAAAATAACTAAAGACAGGGATATTAATCTGGTTAAATTCATTATCCAAACTAGTTAAACCAACTGACCACATATAAATTGTATTGTTAAATTAAAAGATCGGACTACTTAGTAAAATAAATTGTTGTAAATATTATTCACTACAATAGGTTAGGATTTTTTATTATAAATAATAAAATATCATTAACTGTTTGATATAACTTAAATATTAAACTTTTGATCCACTTATAAAAACAATTGATGAATTGCTAATTCAATTTTAATTCAAAAGACAAATGTTTTTGTTTAAATTTTGTAGAATATGCATACTAAATAAAGAAGATAGAGAATTTTCCCAATTCTAAACCTCTATCTACAGTTGTTAGGCAAAACTATTTTTGGTAGATAGCAAAAGTTAAAACTAAACTGGGCAAAAGTCAAAACTCTGGCAAAACGGCAAAACTCTGGCAAAATGGCAAAACCCTAGCAAAATGTCAAAACCCTGGCAAAACGTCAAAACTTCAGCAAAACGAAAAAATGGCAAAACTTCAGCAAAATATCTAAAATTCTTAAAGAAGGTCAAGCACTGTGAGGTTTAACTCCTTTAAGCTCTGAAAGGACTGAGCCACATTGGTGAATCAAAATATTTTGTGTGTGGCTATTAAGCACAGCACTTGGCTTATATACAAATATGCAAAAGCGATAAACAAAGCAATAGGCTTTCATTGTATTTGAGTATTATTAAAAGAAAACTAGAATTTGGGCTTTTGAACTAATAAATCAATTTAGCCTTGAAAATCAAAACCTGAAATTCTGTTTTCTTTAATTAATGCTTATCCATGTATTAATATTATTCGTATAAATAAACTTACTTAAATATTTAAATAAATTTATTGCTATATTGTTAAGATTTTTTTAATATTTCATCGTTAAAGCTTTAATATATATGTAAGTAACTTGTTAATATTATTACTACCTGAAATTATTTCTTGTTAGATCAAATATAGTAAATTTTATTAGGGTTTATAGAATTCTACCATACATGGTATCAGAAGTTTTAACAGAAGAAAGATACATATCATCATCAGATATTATTCATTTGGTATAATTATGTAGAAAATTTTATATAGACAACTAGTTGCTTATGATTAAGAAATTGGACCAGAACTTCAAACAAAAATAGGGTAGCCTAGATGCTTATGTTTATGATTCATAACTACAATTGGGACTATAACCAGATCGTTCACAAATACCTTAACCATAGAACAGTTCTAGAGCTTATTTGGACTATCTCACCAATACTTGTTCTGATAGCTATTGCTTTCTCTAGTTTCAAACTTCTTTATCTATTAGATGAGATCATCAATCCAGTAATGACTGTTAAAGCTATAAGTAATTAATAAGATAGCTGCACAACATTGTCATGCAAAACCAGGAATGGAAGACATAAAGAGTATTGGTATTGCATCTAGTAAATATATAGATTTTTGTATATGTTATATAACAGTACATTATGAACTGTATGTCAAATCATTGTTTAAAGGCAGATTCAACAATTATTAGACAATTTCTTTCAAAAATTCTTTCTGATGATTTTGAAAAAATTAAATCTAATAAAAAAAGAAAACATAATACTTATGGAAAACTTGATTAATATATTAGTATAATAGAATTAGATCAACAAAAAATAAAGGAATTTTTAAATTTTGATTAAACGAGCTTAACTAAAATAATATAATAATATTAATGCATATTACATATCTAAAATTTGAACTAGTAAAATAAATATATTACCGGTTCAAGTTCAATAGTTATTTCTTCAGATTCAAATTCTGGGAGGCTCGTTTCTTCAATTAAACTATTATCATCTATTAAATTACTAAGTTTCTCTTCATTAAAATCACTAAAGAGGGAATTATAGTCCTCTTGTGATTAGAAGTTTTCAGTTAAACTTGTACCATAATTGTCATCAACAACATTTAATCTAACATTTAATCTAACACGTGGTTCTAGTTTCAAACACGTATATAAATTTAATCATTATTACCATATACTATACTAGATTAGTTATATCAAAAGGATACCTTTTATTTTTAGATCAGACCACAATTTATTTACATCAACATTATTTCATTTACCCTATAGATGATGTAAAGAATAATTAGTCAAAATTCTTAACGAGCACATATTATACACATTATGACTCAGAGATACCATAAATGGTTGTATTGTTATCAAAAGCAATATCCGTTGATATATGTATCTCAGTGATAAAAAGCAGTTCCCGTTGCCATGAAATGAAAGATGATACCTAACATATGCAGAGCATAGTAAGCGGCTCTATCTTCACGGCTCAGAGATACACATAATACTTGTCGATAATATGTCTTAGTGATATTGCGAGAAAAGAACAGCACGAAATAGTACCCGTTGACATTATATAGTCCATGAAAAATGTACTCACCTTTGCATGCTGCTGCTGAATCATTTCTGCTTTCTTAACTTTCGCATTATCATTACAATGTTGGATAATTAAATGCAGACTCCTCACAAGAGCATCATTTGCTTTTTGATATTGAAGCTTTCCTGGATCATTTTTGAATGTTTTTATCCAATCTTCATGAAAACTTAA